AAAGGGACAGAGAAAGCGGGAGGGAGCCGGGCCGGCGCAGGCAGCCCCAATCCGGGGCCATCCCCGCCCCGCACCCTGCGGGGCTCGGCTGGGGGTGGAGGGGAGCACATGGCCCCGGGTTCGCGGGCTTTTGTCCCGCTGCCCCGGGAAAAACCTCCCCAGCGCGGCTCTCCTTCCCCGCAGCGGGTCGTCCTGGGATAGCCCACCCCCAGGATCGTGTCCAGAGGAGAGAGAGAGACCCCCAGCCTCCATTTAGTCCCTGCAGCTTCCATTGTTTGATATTAAGGACCACCCCCCCTTCCCCAGCTGATGCAGGGGGGCATTGCCAGTCTTCAGGGGGTGCCTCTTGCCTCAATCCTTCACGTCTGAGCAAATAATGCTGCACCTTGGTTTTTAGCCCTCCCCGCAAGCTGTGCGATATTCCCCACCCGCCAGCTGGGCTTCTCGGAAAGGACTTTGCCATGCTGAAGATACCTAGGGGAGTGTCTTCAGCTGCAGGAAGTGGGGGGTCCTGCTTTGCCGCTCTCCCCCCCCCACACCAGCAGCAGCCAAAGAAAGTCATGCCTGTGATGAGCCCGGCGGACTTGGGGACTTCCAGCCGGAGCAGCCCGCAGATGCACGCCATTGCGACCAGCTATTTCAGCCAGTACCCCCAGACAGCAGCCGTGGTCCCCGCAGCCGGCGGCGGGTGCCTCTATGCTACCCCTCAAGGACCTGAACTCAAAGCCATCCGATCTGCTTCTGCGGGAAGGCTGCCGGTAACGTCTCCCCTCACCCCCTTCCCCCTTGTTTGTCTGCACCCTGCAACCCAGCTTGTCTCTTGGGGGGGCTGTGGGGTGAGCCTGCGTGACGCTGGGATGTTGTGTCATGGGTGCGGGGCAGTGGAAACGAGCCCAGACCCCGGCTAGTGCAGAACTGTCTTTCCTGGGCAAAGTTGTAATGGCTTAAAATCAGACCCGAAGGCTCAGCAAAGTGGCTTGTGTGTTTCTCAACTTGCCGTAGCCCTGGTTGAATCCTGCTGGCACCTTCCTCTTTTTTTCAGTCGTTGCAATGAGCTCTTACTGCATATCAGAAACCCTCCGACTTTGAGAGCTGAGGCCGTAGAAAAGCTTACTTCATATTCAAGAAGTGAATCTTGCGTCTCAAAGCTTCCTGCAGTAGGGGCTTGATTCAACCTCGTCTCCCCCCACCTGGTACGAATCTCTGACTCAGTGACAGTCCCGGCAAGGAGTCGGCATCATTCCAGGGACCTGAGTGCAGCTGAAAGTGCTTCTGGCTACAGCCTTGACCCTGACATGAGGTCTGGGTGGGGCCCTGTGCGGGACCTGCGCAGGGCAGGTGGGTGCGCTGTTGCAGGAGCAGAGCTGGGGGGGAGGGAGGGTTGGGAGAGTCAGACCTGCCATCTGGCATTCTCCACCTGCAGACCTCAAAGCATGTTCTGAGATTCAGGAAGCAGCATTATCTCCTCTATCGTAGCGAGGGAAACTGAGGAACGGAGCGGGGGACAGTGGCCCAGCTCAAGTCACATAGTTGGCAAGCAAGGCTGGGCCTTGAATCTGCCCTCCTTCCAGATCCTGGGTTCTGCCCACTGGACCACACTGTCTGCTTGGCTCTTAGCTTAGAGAATCTTTTAACCCCCATTGCAAGGGTTTGCACTTCCCTTTGACACGTGGCTTCCCTGCCCTGCCCCAGGGGGGGCACTGGGGTAGGTGGAGCACAGCTGTGCTGTGACAGATGGGGCATCCTCGGGCTTTAAATTCCCCCAATGAGCGAAACCAGGCAGGGCTTTCTCGGTTATCGGTGCCGGGATGATGCGGGGAAGCCCCACGGGACCTGCTGGGTGTCACTGGCTCCTGCCGATCTCCAGGCGCGGGCTCTGGGCTCCGCGGCAGTGCTGGGCTCAGTGGGCCGTGGCTTTGCCGTCTGGGGAACGCTCCGTCAGGCATCTGCCTGGCCTTCTGGAGGCCCCGGCCGAGCGCCTGGTGAAAGCTTTGCATTTTGTTGGCAGAGCGCTGGCATCTCGCTCTTGCCTTCTGGAGCTGAGCACCTGGTGGAGGCTTTGCATGTCGTTGGCAGAGCGCTGGCGTCTCACTCCTGCCTCCCGAGGCCAGGACCGAGTCCAGCTCTCACTGTGAGGCTCTGTTCTCCCCAAGGCTGGGACACGTCCCAGGTCCCCCAGCTTCCCCCTCGGCCGCTGAAGCCTCCGAACAGGTGTGGCCCATGCCAGAGCCTCTGGCTTTCCCTTTCCCTGCATGCTTCTTAGCCGTGCTGTCCTGACCGAGACTGATCTCTTTCTTTTTTTGCCCTGGCCAGGCTCTCTGCTCGGCTCCCCCGTCTGCTGCCAGCTCCACCTGTCTCCTCCTCTTCACAGGGTGTCAGAGCGTCTTTGTGCTCTAGCAACGGTGCCGAACGTGCGCGCGCAGCCTGGAGATGCCTTGTGGACTCTCCAGGCCTGTTGTAGCGCTGCCAAAATCCCTTCTGAGCAAATGGGAGTGCATTACCTTCATGGATGCTGCTTAGGCAGCAACCCACAGAGACCCTGAGCCTGCCCACGGGGTGCGAGTCCACGGGGCTGAAGCTAGCGAGGGTTTGTACAGTTGCTGCACTGAACTGCGGGCAGCATTATGGCCTGATCTTGCGTGGCACCTGCCCTTTTGTCTCCTTCCCTTCCTCTGAGGGTATTGAAGCTTTGCCAGCTCCCATCACCACGGGGAGGCTTCATCAAGGACAGTCCCAGAGCTGCTGTTCCTGCATTAGGAGCAGGGAACTGCGGGTTGTCCACTTCTCCCTTTCCTGATGCCCTGTGCTCGCAGGTTGGGAAACTGGGACGAGATGGACCGTAAACAGAGCCATGCAGCCGACTGCAGTTTGGCTTCAAACCCATGCTCTCTGGTCCCTGACGGGCTTGTACAAGCTCCGCCAAAATCCACGTTGCCGCAGCTTTGCTGCTGTGGGTGTCCAGACCGGTCCTGCCGTCACGGCCCCGACTGCCCTGTAGAAGGGAGTTAATCCCCCTCCGCTGTCTGTTACGAGGGGCACATTTCACGCTCGGCGCTAGCAGCTGGCTCAGTCTGTGATCACAAAGTCAGTTTGCCTTCAAACAACTGCAAGGCAGTTTCAGAGCAGCCGCATGCACCGTTGCACCAGTTTAACTACATCTTTTTTAAAATGTGCTTTTTGGGGAAGGCGGTGCAGCGCTGTGTGTAGCTCAGATGGTGAGTCTTGGCTTTTCTTTATATAATTAAAAGGAAAAAAAATCTCCCTTTCCTGCCTGCTGGTAGATTTGCATAGTGCAGGGTAAAAAAAAATACAAGCCCAGAAGGCCATAGTGCACTCTGAACCTGAACTTAGCAGCAGTCACGAAGCGCGCAGGGCTCTGTGCTATGGTGTTAACTGACTGGCTTCCCATTTTCAAGGCTTCTAAGAGAGTTTCGGGGTTGCTGGCTTCCCTCATTTCAAGATTTCTAATTGCAGCCCTGAAACTACCTCGCTCCCGTCAAGTTCAAGGCCTCTAATAACAGCTCAGTGGCAGCTGCTTCCCCTTCCCAGTCTGTGCAGCTGAGCAGCATGATGGCTCTGCTACCAAGCGGCCGGCAGGCCTGAAGGATGACGCTGTGCACTTGAGCAGCTTGTGCCCCAATGTGCTGCGTAGATAGATAACCTCCCTTGTCCTAGTGGAAGCTGCAGACGACAAATTCTGACCAGCTTAGTCGTGCAGCGAAGTGAGTTCTGCACTTTGCTGCTCTGCACGTGCGCCCAGTCCATTGCGTCTTCTTTTTGGGGGCACCTTTGGCTGTAGTTGTGTCCTGCACTTGCTTTCATTCAGAGCAGAGAGCACACGGTGCATGACTTGTGCTCTCACATTATGCCTCTGACCTGAATTCCTGGTCTCCACCGGGGAGTCAGGCAAGCCT